TTACTAGTTCTAAACTCTTCGTCAGAGACCTAGGTTTCTCTAAATCAGATTTTCACCCATACCAGTTGTCTAATACCTGTCTAATCTACCCATCTTTTCATCTCCTGTCTAATCTCCTTTACCTTTATATTTGGTGTGGTTTTTTAAAAACTTGTCATCCATTCCCCTGTTTTCTGCTACCTATTTCTTATCATTTCTTATTTCTAATCCATTTATTATTACTGCAGTGGTATGCTTTTTCCCTCTTAATATCTTCTCTTAGTACTTCCTCCTCCTCTTCCTCCTCTTCCTCCTCCTCCTCCTCTTCTTATTTTGTACTGGGGATTGAACCCAGGGGTGCTTGACCACTGAGTCACACCCCCAGCCCTTTTTGTTTTTTATTTTGAGACAGGGTCTTACTAAGTTGCTTAGGGCCTCACTGAGGAACTAGTGATCCTCTTACCTCAGCCTCCTGAGCCACTGGGATTAAAGGTATGGACCATTCTCTTAGCTCTTCTAATTCCCATTATAGTCCCTTGGGATTTCACTTTTGATGTATTTTATTTCTCAGGGTGTGAAACATTTGTGTTCTATTTTTTTTTTCTGTTTACTGTTTACTACGGTTAATCTTCCTCCATAATACATTCTTTCTTGCCTTTTAGAATAATATGCTACTTTACTTCATCTTTCTTCCCTACAATTTAAAATGTTTCCATGAGCCCTTTATTTCCTCTACATTCATATTTTTGAAAATCAGGATTTGCTAACTAGATTTTCTATTTAAAAAAATTATTTATTTATTTTTTAGTTGTAGATGGACACAATGCCTCCATTTTATTTATTTATTCTTATGTGGTGCTGAGGATTGACCCCAGGGCCTTACACATGCCAAGTGAGCACTCTACCGCTGATCCACAACCCCAGCCCTAGATTGTCTATTTATACATAAAACAGAGTTTTTTTTAGATGAATTATCTTTCAGTGTCTCAGGCCTCCTGTTGGCTGTTGGATTCAACCAATGAGGAGCTATATAGGGCAACTGGAAGAAGACAAGAGATGAATTCATAAAATGTGGTATAAGATTGGGCTCTGTGCAGTTTGCATGTTTATTTTTTTATGTTGCAATTAAAAAAAAATTAAAATATAATTGAAAAAATCTTTTAGGGGAAAAATTTTGCAAGCCTGCATGTATCCTTCCTAAGCCCAGATGTGAATTGCCACATATTATCATGCAATCTTTTCCTATCTGAAGGAAGAACCTTTGGTGAGTTGACTTTTGGATTAGTTGAGGAATGCAGGCAATTATAAGAATAGAGGAACACAATGTACCATGCTAGAGAATATTGAAAGATTCCCAGAGTATCATTGCCTCAAGGAATGGAGAAGTCTTGAGATGTCTTTCCTACTTCTGTCCCATGAAGATGAAAGGAAAGGCTAGGCCTTGACTTTTTCTTTTTCAAAATTATGCTGAGAAAAATCTGGTTACTCTAGATTAGGTCTATAACACTAAAAATCAAATGCTACCACAGTTTCCTAATTAGAATGGTTAGAATTTAGCATTCTTGTCCAAGATGATAAAAACATATTTGTAATATGGGTTTCTACCAAGATTACACAGAATTTTCACAGGATGTTCCTGCTCCTATTTAGGTGGGTGGGTGGAAACATTTAAAGAACTGGCCTCATGTTTTTAAGAAAAATTAAAGTAATGATAAATGAAAATCATGATTCTTTGGGTAAAATAAAAAGTTACACTTTTTTTTCAGTCTTGGTTTTTTCCTTAAAATATAGAAATCAACTCTTAATAATGCTGTTTTCTATGACCATCTTACCACTAAATTTTATGTATGGGGATTTGGGTGACCATTATTGAAACCAGAAGAAAATACTGAATACAGTATTAATTTCAACTATAGGTTGAAATTTTGTAATTACTACCCAAATGCAAGTGATATTAAATGACAGTGTTGTGACCAAAAAACAGCTCAGTCACCAGAGGTGAAGATAGGTCAAAAGATACAAGATGACATTTCTGTCCAAAGTACCACAAATAATAAAATACCACTGCTAAGAATATTTAAAAAAATACTACTGCTAATAATTACAACAGTGACACAATTATCATTTGTTTTGTGAATAATTTTGTAGTGATTTCTATGGTAAAAGTTGGGGTAGATATTATGGTTATCTGAAATCAAGTCAAAGCCTCAGAAATCTTCCCTTGAGATTTATAATCTTAATAGAAAAGGAGATAATATTCTATTAAGTAATGGTACAAGATTGGGTATGACCAGGTAACTAATTAATGCCAACAAACAAAAATAAATATTAGTACTCTAGTCCAGAGGTGGAAAAGATCATAATAAGCTGAAGGCAAAGAAATTATTCAAAAATACTTACTGTGTGTCACATTTTGCTAGGCACTATATGTACTGAATTAAATAGTGTCATTATATTTATTGAGAACTTATTAATTCAGAAATTTATAAAAAATAGTAATTATGTGAACAGAATAAGTTTATTTAGCAAATGCAGAATATTAAACTAGTAGAGGCGATACGGGAAGAACCTTAGAATTTGTTTATTGTAAAGAATTACTATCATCTCTTAATTTTTTTTTAATTAAAAAAAATTAAGATAGGATCTCACTATTTGCCCTGGCTGGCCTGAAACTTGCAATTCTCTTGCTTCAACCTCTCTGGGAGCTGGAATTATGGGTGTGCACCACCACCAATCCTGCCTGGCTGCTCCTACCTCTTGGTTATAATTATTAAATGCCTTGTAAATAAGGTGGGATTTCTGTGGCTACTCAGTTCCATGTGAAAGTGTTTTTCAAAGAAATTTGAGTAGATAATATGTCTTCTTGGATATGAATCAGAAATAAAGTCCATAGTGTTTTCCTAAAACCCAAAAAATGCTTGCTCCTCTGAGGGTCAGTGATCTTAAATACTTCAGACACATAGTTTTGCAAATGCTTCATCCTGAATTATGAATTTCACTTGTGGAATTCACTGGCAAACACTTGTGCTTCTCAGAATTGCCAGCTTCTATATTCAGAGTAGAAATCATCCATAGATTATAATGGAATGAACTCAGACCAGAGGCTGGGACACTGTGGTTCTATTTCTGGCTTTGACATTTTTTCTTGATAGTGGTTCACCAAAATAATATTATTATATCATTAACAAAGTCCAAATACGTTTTGAGGCTATAGTTTCCACCTTTAAAAAATCTTGCCTGTGTTGCAAGAATTACAGTGTACGAGTTGGTCTTGTAGTTATTAATATAGGGTCAGTAATTTCTAAGACTAATTCAAGGGATATACTAAGAAGTTAGATGGTAGGAAATCACAAATTAGCCAAATGTTGAGGAAAATATCAGCCAATTAAGGTAAACAAAGGCAGAATTACCGTTAGTCCTTGCTTATCTATGATATTTGGGATAAAGAAAAATGTCAAGATATTGACCATGAAACCCAAAGTTGGTTGTATCCTTTCAGTTACAGTGACCCTCCAACTTTGTTTCACCAAATCTCTCCTTGGAGCTGTTAACACGTAGCCACAGGATTTAAGTTTGGCTCCTTTTCCTTTCCCTTGCCCTCCCTCTGGTGGAGGTGTTAATGAGTGAAATGCCCAAGATGGGCAGCTGAGTAGAATTCCAAAGGTTTGCATTTTCCACCAACTACACCATCAGCCTTTGGAATGGAGAATTATTGGTTGTTGATTGCCACTTCCAGATGATCTGAGGGTGCCACATCACGTGGGTCTACTCAGAATGAATCTAAAAGAGAGTTCATATATTTATTAAGATAATATTATTGCTTATGCCTTCAGAAAAGAACAGACCTAATTTTTAAATGGGTTAATATGTTCCTAAAAAATATCAATAAAATGTTATAAAGTGTAGGGTTCCTATTGGGAACATGGGACAAACGCTTGCTTCATAATAATTTAATAATTGACATTTAATGATGGCTTAGTTCTTTTATAACCAGAATAATATTGTTACATTTTTAAAGCTCTTTTGCATCTATTATCTCATTGGTGATCTCAGCCCAGCAAGATGTAGAATGTGCTATCACACTCAGAGGCCCCAGTAGAGGACCAGGACCCAGTCTCCCAAATCTTAGTTCTGTGCTTTTGTGCTTCTCCATCCAAATAGCCTAATATACATAAAATTAATATATTACAATGGTTCTTAAAAACATTTCTAAATTTTGCAACATCTTAAGCATCTATCCCAGGGATTCGATTAAATTGGTATTTAATAGACTATGAAAATTAGTAATTACTTAGTTGAGTGTTAGCTAAAATTAAGTTGCTATTGTTATTAAAAACCATGTCTGGGGCAGTATATTGTTTTGGATAAAAGAATGGATTCTAGAGCCAGACTTGAATCTTGGCTGTGCCCCACTCATTAAGTTATATGAAAAGCTTAGTGGAATACCTAGCAGGAGGCAGTATTATCTACATGGCAATCACTGTTATTATTCCACAGTTCTAGTACTTACACAGGTAAGTAATAATTTGCCATAAGTTACATGGTAAATGATGCAGCTGGGTTATAATCTTGATTTTTATATTTTACTGCCTCTTATAGAAACGTTGCCTCTTTCTGTTATTTTCCTATAATTCCTAAAATGTGTTTTATTTCCTTTTCAAACATCTCCTTTCCTGGCCAATATTTTATTTTCTAGTACCATATTGAAAATCTTTTTCAAAGTCAACATTTAAAACAATTTCTATTACAAAAACTTTAGTTCAAATCTCCTCAGTTGTTAGGCTCTCATTTTATGCACACATGCACATTTGCATTTGTAAAGGAGCTGTTTTGTGCTTTAATCTATTTTTCCTTTCTGGACATATTCTCTATGCCTGCTAGTGTAAACTACTTGAATCCTACATTTCTATTCACTTTTTGTTAATTTACCCAACAGTATCCAGCACTAGATGTGCTATGGATCAGTGAGCTGTTTAGTAAATTACCACCTGACCAGCAGGCCCTCCCTATACTTTTATTCCTTTTTTTTTTTTTTAATTCTTGGTTATTGGCTGACTAGTATGCTCAGCGGCTCTCTGGAACACGCAAATTTCAAGGCCATAAAAATGATTTAGTCAATTTAGAGCTAAAAAACAAAAACAAAAACAAGAGCTCGTCAATTTTTAATTTTAATTTTTTTTTTGAGTGTGAGGATTTAGTTGTTAATTGGTGCTTTCCACTCTAAGTAAGACCAAAAAACGGAGACCTAGGTATTCCTACCCCAGAGAGTGTTTTTTGTCCCCCTGCCTATCAAGAAACAGAACCAGAGGCAGTGGTTGAGGAGCAGGGGAGGAGAGGTGTCTGAGTCTTTAGAAGATAAGTGTATAAGAAAGAAGGAAAAGATAGAGACACCCCTTAGCTTCTTGGTTTTGTTCTTCTTTCTCCCTGAGGATGGTGGTGGCAGCTGATCAGACACAATAGCTAGCAGTCCCCCGCTGAAGTGAGGATAGAAATGACCCTCAACAGCACCAGCAGGAGGACTGGGGAAGGGAGGAGGGCTGTATTTAGGAGGGGGAGAGGAAGAGGGTGACAAGGTGAAAAACGCCGCCTCCACGTCAAGCTACTACTCCACTTCGGGGAGGCAAGGACCCAAGCCGGTGAGCCACCTCCCGGGACCCCTAGGCGAGATCGGAAGGGGAGACTGAGGCGGGGCTGGGGGGGGAGCAGGGGGCGGCGGCTTTACTCTTGGGGGCGGGGCAAAGGGTGGAGGGAGACCTGAGTCAGCAGCCTCTGATTGGTTCCTGGTCTCTTGTCGCGTCTCCCGATTGGACAATTTGCAGCGGGAGATGTTGTGAGGCGCGGCGGGGTGGAGCAAACCGCCCGGGGTCTAAGACCAGGCCCTGGAGTCGAGTGGGGAGGGACCGCTCGCGGCTGTGCGCTGGGTGTGGAGCCGCAGTGACCTGTAGTGTAGAGAAACACAGCCACCTTTCCTCAGTTCTGCTAGTCGCTCCGAAGCAGCTCAGCGGCTCTGCAGATTTTTTTTTTTTAAAGGAAAGAATTGAATGAACAACGCTCCGCTGCTACCTGCTCCCTTTTTTCCCACCACGGGAAAATATTTTGCTGTCTGATGTGAGAGGACACTCCCTTATCTGGAAGTCCCACATCTCCCAGCTTCGTGCTCCTCCCGCTTCAAAAAAGGGGCCAATAATTCACCAAGACATGTCCTTCGCAGTCTGGGACCTTTGATCCCTCGGTTCCTTAGATCTCGCTATGACTGTCTCCCACTAAGCAACCCGGACACCAGCCACCAAATCTCTTTCCCAGGATAAAGCCCCGCTCCTGGACGCTCGGTTCAGCGCTCGGGAGGTCGGAGAGGGCGGGAGGTTTTGTGAACCTGGTTTTGGGGTGCTGCTGGGCGTGAGGGTTTGTGGGTCCCCAGCCGCGTTGGAAGGGGGTTGGCGAGCACCCCTCCCGCCCCGAGTTAATCCTCCTCCTGCGTCGGTTCCCTGGGACCGTATTATTCGAGACAGAAAATATTCAGTCCCAGAGCCTCCCCTGGGGAGGGGAGGGGAAGGAGGTGGAGTGGGAGGAGGTGGATCCAGGGAGGAAGAAGCGAGAAATCCGCCCCCGGGAAACAGCTCCGCGCGGCTGCGGAGCCAGGCG